AATATTATGTGCTATAATTTTCACCACACTTTGGAAAATTCTTCAATTAGATGTGTTTCCAAGGGCAAATGTTTTGGAAAAAACAGTTTTTGAACATTTTTTTTTACTTTATTAGAGAGATTTTTAGCCGTTGGCTAGTTCTAGTTTTTGAACAGTACTTCTAAAGCACAACGTTTTGGCTGTATCACATAGAAACGTATTTTTTTCACTTTTAGGACCACAATTAAATTATGGACAGAAGTAAATAAATGCTCGAGCTAGTTATGATTTCATATAATGAGAATCCTGCCCAGAACATGTGAAAAATAACATAAAAATATTATTATGCCATCGGCATTTAAATAAATTTTATACAACATTGATTTTTCACTATAAAAGCTTAAAACTACCTCTCTCTAATCTGATCATATCTCAAAAACTATTTGTCCAAATCATTTGCCCTTGGAAACACATATAGTAGGAGAGTTTTCCAAAGTGTGGTGAAATTTTTTGCTCAAAATATTAAAAGATATGTGTTTTTACATGGATGTCAAAAGAGCAATTTAAATTTATTTAATTTTCAACGAACAACCATATAAATTTACATGGAAGCTTTAATTCATTGTATTTCAGACAGTTAAAAGGTACGTTAAGATAAAAAAGTATAATTTCAGATAAAGTACCCCGGGGCAAAGTGAAACGGTTTTTTGTAACACTTTTTAGCTCTCTGGAAAATTCATAAAGTAAACCGGATGTTTTTGCACCAAAAGTTTCGTAAAAGCACAGAAGACGCTGAAACAGTATTAAACTATAGATTAGGTAAAGAAAAAACTAATTATTTATGAGGATACATATATAGTTTGTGTTGTTTTGTCTTGCCCCATACAGTGGGGTAAGTTTAACCACACATATTACATCAGTTTTACGATGAAAAATCTTATCTATTTTCTCCTAAAACATGTAGGGACATTTTTTTTTTTAGTATTTTTTTTTCTTCAAAATTTCACTGAATCAAGCTTAGAGTGCATAAAATACCAGTAGGGATTAGTTGTCAGGATAAGTTCATTTGTTTACATCATGGCTTCACCGGAACAAGCACGTCGCGATTCGATCCTGTACGCAAAACTTTTGAATTTGTCGAAATCCACGGTGTGACCGGACTTGGCAAGCTGCCACTACTCAAATCCCACCAAACAATGGTCAGCGTAAATGGCACAGTAGTTTCCAAAGAGATGAATCTGGCCAATACTCCAGAACTAAGGTCAATTGAGAAATACTGGTCAATTATGAAGCACATACTGAAGAAAAAGGGTGGAACTGCAATTGACCTGAATTGAAATGGAATGGAATTCGGCAGCCAACCAAGCTAGTGCAAAAAATGATGGGCCATGTACGAGAAATGGCCTATGGTAAGAAGGAAGACCGAAATGTCTTGCAATAAGCATAGTACCTACTCATGTATAGCTGTTACATTGAACTATGAAAAACAAAACGCATTTTAAAACCCCAACAAGATTTAATGTCTGGATTTTTTCGTGATCAACCTATATAAAAAAAAACCGTTTTTGAACTTTATCAACCTCTGATGGGAATACAAGTATCCGCTGATGAACGCGGTACATCATGACCGCTACAAGTGTTACCTGGCAAGCCGTGTTCACCCACACTACATAAGTATCTCTTATACGCCTTTTGCCTTCCATCTTATACATGTACTGATAGTCTAGTGGTCAAAGTATGGGTTTAATGATCGCCAGGTTCTTGGTTTGAATCCCGTCTGATGTTTTTATTTTTTAAACTTATTTTGGTTAAAAGTTAAAAGTTAAATTCATGAACTTAGTTCATGATTTCAACTCGGATGATTCATGATTTCGGGAATCTTGGGTGCGTTACGCAAACATAGCTCATGATATCATGGTGTATTTTCATAACATGAATCGATGTTTTTAGAATTACTTGTTATTTTACACAGTTGTTTGTTACTGTCCAACATGCCATTTTACATATATGGTTCCTTAGTTTTGTACACGACTAAGGGCTTATGCAAAAATAATACGCATCAATAAAAAAAAAACATATATATTTCGCGAACGATTTGTTTGATCGAGATGGTGGCTTCGAAGAAGTTGCGGACAAGTATTGTGCCTTTCAAGAAAAAATATACACTGTAAAAATTATTTTATTAAAACCTAAATTATCAAACAATATTAAACTCAGCTACAACTTTGTTGAAAACCACTTTTCAATCAAATCTAAGGAACAAAAGTTATTAATGATTCAAGTCACTGATGTCTTATGATTATGCTTATTCAACTGTTCAGTAGGCAACATTGGTGTTTCAGGTGCGAAGAATAGAGCACAAATATCATGGCTACTATGTCACACTGCAGAATACAGTGTTGCCTACAGAACAGCTGCTTGATCATGCCATACGATTATCAATCTCTTAAATAATTAATAACAATTTAATTTGACATTTGGCTGAAAAACGATGTTCCGCAAAGTTGTAGCTAAGAAAATTTCCCGTAATAATAGTTATAGAAGTTTTCGAAAAAGCAATATGGGGAATGGGTAGAAGACAATGAACAAAAAGTTTGGTTTTCCCATAGTAATTTCCATATGAACTTCGAATAGTTTGTGCCAAGTCAGTTTCTTACCAAATGAGTTTAAATTTTGGGAGGCTAATCAGGACCTGTTTTGAAACCGTTTGAGCACTGTGGAGCGAAAATTTCAAATTTTGCATCAGTCTAATGATTATCCATAATATTCATAAGTCAACTAATAAGCAGAAGCCATGCAAGAATGTTAATGAAAACACGACGGCAAACATTAACAAATGAAACGCATGAATAAATTATTAATGTTCGTGGATGATTAATTCAATAAGGTACACGTCATTGCCAAAACTAACAGACAACTCGGTTTCATCTTCAAGATCTCCCGAAGAGTTTCGTTATCCTGCCTATCTAAATGGTATAATTGCTCTATACGGCTCTCTCGTATGGTTGATTCTAGAATTATTTAAGTACAAGTGGTATGGTGTCCGTATCACAGGGGCAACAATCACATATTTCGGCGGAGCTCAATCACATATTTCGGCAATGCTCACATCAATGTGATGAATATAGTGGGTGAGGATAACTGCAACTAACTACTCTTTCTAGCATTCCGGACTGCGATGCAAGTAAAGAGTAAGCTGTTTTGTTCTGTCATACCTCCGTCAGTCTTACCGCTGTCAGTTTGCCCAAAAATGTCAAAACCATGTAAGCTATGGTGCATCTATATGTGGTTGACAGGAATAGAGTCCCCCTGGTCCGAGCAGTTTCGATATTGAATTAGAATCTATTCAAAAGAAACTCCTTTGTTGCAGCCCGTTATGCTGCCTTTTGATACAAATGCTGCAAAACAGCAAAAATCCGAACGAAGGTACTTCTACAAATGAGTATTTTAGACCCTAATTTAAAATAGTTTCTGTCGTGAAGTAATGAAATTGGGTTTTTAGCGGAATGCTTTAAATGAAACAGCAAAAAAGGTTATCTTCCATTTAATTCCACTTAATTAATGTTGGTATCTTCATCAGTGTCATTCCCGCTAAAGAGCTTATCAAAACTTAACCCCCTTAAGTACTCATCCCCTAGGTAAAAATATCAAGATCACAGGTATAAAAATGAAACAACAATGTTTAGAATCGGAACCTACCTAACTAAAAAACCAAAGATTTAACTAAACTAAAGGAGAAAAATCGATACAAATCTCTAATAAAGAAAACTGTCATTCAACATTTCTGATATTTGTAAAAGAGGTACACACTTAGTTTTTTTTCTACCGAGCTCAGCTGTGCAAAACTCAGCAAAAAAAGTTTTACTGAGATCTCAGCAAACATTTCAATTGTTTGTTAAGATTCAGCTAAGCATTTTCCGAGACTCAGCAATCAAATATCACTTTTGCTGAGATCTCAGTGAAACTTATTTTTGCCGAGATTTGCAGAGCCGAGCTCGGTAGAAAATACTAAGAGTGTATATTAATATCTAAGTGGATCTAAAAACTGCTAAAAGGTAAATAAAAATGTGACTTATGAGATGAGTGATTCAAATAGATTTGTTATTGTTCGCTATTCTATATAGCAACTAACTTATAAAGGACATTTAAAAATGTCAGGTTGAATTCTCATTCGCCTCGTATACGAACATTTGAACAGCAGCAATGAAGTGACTTAGATCTAATTTTGGGCCTAATAAGCACAACCCGCGTTTTACCTCTATTTTAGAGCGGATTTTTTATTCACAAAATGAAATGCTTTCGCTGCAAATGACATCTAAATGTATTTACATTTCCGTGCGTATTATAAGATTTGATGAAGAGTAACTAATTGTTGAAATATTGTTAAAAAACTAAGATTGCTTCTTGACCCCGAACTTGGCCTACGTATTTTAAATTTGGCCTAACGCATTAAAACGCCATTGAACCGCCATTGAATTCACTTCGGCCCGTCGGAAGAAGATAAAAATTGATTCGTTCTTAGCACTTCTTTTGTTTTCGAGAATAATGGGTCCAAACATTCATATCACGTGTTTTTATATATTTCGTTCGGTAGCTTTTGAACTAAAGAATCGTACCAAACAAATAATTGACTTGTTAACACCGAAATCATGGATTTATTTGATGTTTTCTACTCGATAGGCCCAAAATAAGCGATTAGGCCGAAGTAGTTCATTACCCTAATGTTGTTTTCATTCGTAAGACGTTCCGCTCATGGCCAATACAATAGCAAATTAGTGATGCCAGCCTTGGCCACTTCTCAGTCATAAAAATAGCACAAAGACACAAAAATAGTCTTATTGGGTGTAGAATAATATTAATATTTTAATTTCTACAAAAAAAACTCAATAGTAATTAAAGATCATAATTAAACACCTTGGTTTAGAATCTATACAAAACAACACAAAAAATGTATCTCAATTGAGAAATTGAGAATCATGAAATTGCATCTATAAGAATGTCCACCACTGTACGCCGTAGAGGCAAAGCCATTTGTGTGGATTTTGCTTTATTATAGGGCTTATATCATCTTCTCTCCGGCGGCAATGCTCTTTTGCATCACCCCGGGTTGACACTCTGTCTGGGAATGGGCTAAAAGCATGATTGGGTGGAAAACCGGAGCAGAGCATGCCAAACAGAGAAAAAGCAACAAGCCAATATTGATAATGATAGTTATAACACGAGCGAGCGGAACTTCTCATCGCTCATCGGACCACCGGAGAAGGAACCTTTTTTGCTCCAATAAAAAGCCATATCTTAATTGGTTTGAACTTGATAACTTCTTTTTCGGCTTCGGTTGTGAAATTTTCATAAAATAACCAACGATTTCTTTTAACCGTTTGTCGGTTTGGAAGTGCGCTTAGCACGTGAGATGCGTTCTGTTGAAATTGTAATATCACTTGTCATCCTCATAGATACCAGGTGAGTGACACGATTGAGAGGCAATCAAAATTCATATGCCATCAGACCATTGATTGATCCTACCAGCGTGCATGTTATCAATTCACTCAGCGTGTCAAAAAAATTCCTTTCTTGAAATCAAATATACTCAGGTCAATACTTACGTGGACGACCACTTTGTCCGTTGTCGTCGGCATAGACAGTGCCATTTTTTGCTATTCGGACAAACTTTGATGAGCAGGCCGATTGAAGATACATGTATTCGGGTGTTGCTCCCGCAATCATCACCACCTGAGAAGTAGAGCAAAAGAAGGAAATACCATATTACATTAATTGAGAACTGTTTATATGCCATGTGTTGATACATTTCCTGCTTCGTGTCTGATATATAGAACATGTATTTACCAACATACAAACAAAAAAGAGCCCTTCGAAATCGTAATTTAACAAATCATTTAGTATCTTGCTCAATTTCAAAGACTACTATGACGTCAACAAAAAACAAAAGGAATCCCCTGTCAACATGTGAACAACAAAGAAGGTAATTTATAGACAGTCATTGCTGTTGTCAATGGACACCGTGGGTTGTCTCTGAATTGAAATTGCGCCTTTATGATATCATATCGTAACAAAGAGATTGACATCTTACAAATTTCGCACTGTGTATCTGAAGTATATTTATTTACTATCCTATAGCTTGCTTCCGAATTGTATCTGACGTTTGTACATGGTGGAATGAAATTTGTCAAGATTGACATAATAATGGGTGATTTTTATTTTTGAGCTACGTACAACATCCCCTTGAGTGGTCTTGAAATTTTACTTTTATAACACTGCAAACATCGTTTGATAGGAAAAGGATAGCGCTGAAATTTTGTTGTGGCGTTTGTTGGTCTAGAATACACCAATTTTTTAACACTTAAAATTGTAACCTTGATCGGAAGAGCTGAGAAAGCTTTTAACAAGTAACACTAATCAAGTCAAATTAATAACTAAATGGAATTTTACCTGAATTCGGGGCCTTCCTATGTTAGTCAATAAAGGCGTAGCTGCATAGAAACATATGCTGGTACACTCTAAGTAATATTAAGGTTAGAAAATGCTACAACTTTCCTAGGGTATCATCATGCTTGCCCTAAAATATATATGAATGCATTGTGCAGGCTTAGAATACTGTAAGTATACCGTTATTAAACTTGGTTAATACGAAAAAAACAGGTAATAACGATTGAAGTGTGAAAGATAGTTAGAGACTAAGTGAAAGAGTTATTCAGAAACTGATGCATTATTAAGGAAATTAAATAAATAAGTTGCTTCTCAATTTTCAAATAATAAAATTTCCATTTCAGTGAAAAAATTACGACGCAACCGACAGCCGCAGCATGCTATTGAAGCTAAATATTGAACGCTATTTAAACGTTTCGGATATTGTTCAGAAAATTAAGTTGAAAAGATGCATCTGTGTCACTTGAAAATTCATACATGTAAACCAAACAAATACAAGAAATAAAGATCATTCAAAGTCAAAGTTCAGAAAATTGATCGCGTTTTTTTTAAATGCATAAATGTCACACATCATGATTCAGGTCAGTGTCAAATGCGAGATAAAAAACAATTGATACCATTTTTATTCTGAAAATATTGATATCACACGCAGTAAACATTGATGATACGATTAAGTTCAATCAGAATCTCTTTTTCAAAGCATCGTGCTGCGATTAGATAATTTATTATACAGTTGTCATCCACTCTTTTTTTCTATTATTCCAAAGCTGTGCACCGATCCTCTAGTATGAATGGGACCCAGTTTGATAAGCAACGTAATCACGTTGGGTGTCAATAATTTTGGCGATAATTGTGAGTGGCTGATATGTTTAGATGTTATTTATAGACCTGTCCATCGAATGGAAGTAAAGATGAAAGGTTACGATCTGATTAGACGTTTGACAAAAAAAAACTCAATCTTGATGAATGTTGACGTCCATGTACCGGAATATGTATATTTTTAATTTTCACTTCTAGTAACCCTATGAACCTCACAGAAACGTGTTTCTGGTAACAATGTTTGCCGTTTTGAGTTGATTCTACGTTTCGTTTTGTAATGTAGAAACATTTCTTTTTACTTTATTAACCATAATCAGTCCCATCTGGATAATAAAAGGAAGCCAAGAAAAAAACCGTTGATAATTTATTTTTCCATTGGCTCTTATGGGTGGGACAATCTACACAGTTCGAAAAAGTAGTGTAAATTTTTGTCACTATGATGCACATAAATGAACCGTAATATAACATTCAAATTAACGTTATAGATCGTGTAAAGTTATGAAAAATTTTATGAAATATTCCAAATATTGTATGCAAACGTCTATTTAGACCTGGGTGTCCTTTCCTGTACACAGAAGTTGTCTCAATTCCACTCGATCCATGACTCAATCCACGCTGTCTACGAAGGCTCCGCAGTCCACCTCCCAAGTAACATTGAAAGCTTTATTGAAGTTTTAAAGCATACTACAAGTCTAACACTTGGTCTACAGAACCCTCATAAAACCCAAATTGTTACTTGCGCTGGTCGATCCACCTTCTGCACCTTGTTAAAGTCCAGATGCGTACCTTTTCGTTTAGTCCAGTCATCAAATTCATCAAATTCATCAAATAATTCGGACGCCTCCCTTAGTTCAGTCGTTAATGGCGCAGCTATAAAGTAAGAACATGTTGGAGGCGGCTGGGTTCGATTACCGGTCTGGTGAACAATTTCTCGATTTCCCTGGTCATGGAGATATACTAATGCAATAATGGTACAGGCTTAAAATGTTCTCAATTAACAGCTATGGAAGTGCTTAAAGAACAGGCCAGCGGGACGTTATAAAGCCAGTAAGGACACACTACAAAAAGTCATACACATTTTGGTGTCCCGAGACCAGCACATGCAACCGACACAATGAGAAAATCAAATCAATTGGAACACTTAGGCTGTGGTCCATTTGGTGAATTTTCACTTAAATTTGACACTTCGAAACTAAATTATAATGTTCGAAAATCCCTCTGTTGTTGATCGGCCAATTTTCGAGAAGGTGTGTGTCAAAATTGATTCCTTGTCTGTCAGATATAAGTCTGCTGGAATAGCAGGTTAATTTGTAAATTTTCCATCTGTCAAGTTTAAGTGAAAATTCGCCAAATGGAACACAGCCTTAGTTTTACATGAACTGTTTGTTTAAGTTCGCTAATTTTCGTCAAAGATGGATTACGTCTTGTGTGAAAATAATTATTTCTAAGTGTGGACGTAATAAAGCCAACGAAAAAGACGTTCCGTTAGTCAAGGCGAGGCTAACACTCTTGAACCTCTTCCTCGCATGTATTTTGAGTCCAATCCGATTGGCTTCAGCCAGTCTGATGTTCGTTTCCGCTATCGTCTCTTTGCCATAATATCGATGTCATGCCAAGACGAAATTTTATAAATTTTTACCACTCTTCGAATTACACCTTACAATGCGATATTAAACAACAGACACGAAAGCTTATCACCTTGCCGTAACCCTCTTCAAGATTTGACCTCGAAAATACGCTAAATATAAAAATGCACGTGCTTAGCTGTGCAACAATTAGCAAAATGCCCTATCGCTCTATCCATGTATGAAGTTGTCAGATTGCCAAAATTTTATATGTGGTTACCATGACGATGACAAGACAGGCTTTGTTGTGATGGACTTTGTGTTGTTGTCAGCCACTTTGAAAAAAAAAAAACGTTCCAACTTGGCCCGGTGTACTTTATTGAAGGCGTGCATCTAATCCAAAGTTAAACGTACACTCAAAATAATGTTCACGTCAATGCTACGTGAAAACATACATAGATTTTTTCCATCGCATTTTCACGTAAGTGTTACGTGATTCTCATATCAAAGCACTCATTTCAGTGAGCGAGATAGTCACGGGATTATCACGTAGAAGTAATGTGATTCTTTCGATGAATTTCATGGTGGTTTTCAATGATTTTTATTAAGGTTTAAATTAATTGTTTTTCTTGATTTCAAATGAAAAAAGATCCTAATACCCCGGACAGACTATGGCTTATATAATGTAATATAGGCTGTCTTGCAATGAGCACTCATACATAGGATTTCCAGCGAAAACTAGATGTATGAGTGCTCATTGCAAGACAGCCTATATTACATGATATAAGCCATAGTCTGTACGGGGTATAAAGTATTTCTTGACCATTGTATCTTTATTGTGGCAAATATGCACACAGAAGAAGAAATTATTTCGGGCGAAACTAGACTCGGGAAGGATATGGAACGCATATAATACAAGGGCATTTAACTCGCATTTAAATCCATGGTACTCCTTTTCGTCAGACTAAAACAAAGAAACATGTTACAAATTATTTTCACCATACAATTTGTCTGTGATAAAATGTTCAGCTATTATACTTACAACACGAAATCGTCTTACGAAAATAAGCCCTAAGATTTTAACTGGCATGTAAACATGCAACTTGCAATTCCACCATATTGTGTACCATTATGAGTGGGGCACTCATTTATTTTTTCATACGTGACAATCACTTAGAGTTTACGTGAAATGCACATAGAATTTGTGTATGTGCAAATCACGTGCGTTTCATTAAAAAAAAACCTAGTGACTTCAAAGGGACTCCCGTTGATACATATAGGGTATCACGTAGACTCTACTTGTGTCACGTAAATTTATCATAAAATTGAAAAGAGAGAGTCCAACTGATTTTTCACGTAACAATAACGTGTCGATTATTTTGAGTGTAGGCCATTCCGGGTCCAACTACAGCAACATATTTCTTTACTTGTTGCGTCCATCTCAGATTCAATTGCCGCTTATACCCTGGACAGACTATGGCTTATATCATGTAATATAGGCTGTCTTGCAATGAGCACTCATACATCTAGTTTTCACTGGAAATCCTATGTATGAGTGCTCATTTCAAGACAGCCTATATTACATGATATAAGCCATAGTCTGTCCAGGGTATTAGCCACGTGCATCTCCGTAGTAGAAATCAACAGTGAGATGCTGGTATGTGACTTTGGTGATAGATAATTGAACTCCAGCTTAATTAACAAACTTATTTATGGAATCAAGCGGCACTAATTAAACAGCATGCCCATCGTCGACGACATTTGCATGTGAGGTAATACTGAATTAATAGGCTCTTTAGTGGACAGAGATTTCGCAACGATCAATACCTAACCTACACTCGATCGGTCAAATAGACGGAGTGCCGTTTGCCACTACCACGTTTCCTCTGATGAACGTGTGTT